GAGCTGCAGGTGTGGGTGCAACATGGTGCAACCTTAAAATGTGTGGATGGAATTGCGTAAAACATCGTAAAAAATCGTAAAACATCGTCATAAGAACCTTCATGAACTTTTCGAATTTCGCTTTGGCCTCCCAAGCCCAGGATCATAGAGTCAGCCGTTTGCCGCCTGTCGCCTATGAACACCCTTCCACCTGGGCAGAAAACTCTGAGCCAAACGCAGTGCGAGGCTTAGTTGTGTGGACTCAAGGTCAGTGAGTGTCTGAACGAGCACTGCACTGCTGAACGCGCGGAAATACAGCTGCTTTGTCAGCATGAACTTGCAATTTCCGAAGTCACGCTGTTGAGGCCAATTCTGTCAATTGGCCCGTGCCCCATTTCTTCGAAAAGGAACCAATTCTGTAGCAGTGTAGCATGTCATTTAAGTTGTTTAAAACCTCCATGATACTGAGGGAAGGACAAGGGCAATGACATCGTGATTCCAGCGCAGATCGTCTCTAGACAAGTCCTGCTGAAGCGTTTGACATGACGGGTTTCGTCTGCAATTTCGTCGTCCCAACTCCCAACCCCATGGCCCTTTGAGTTTGTTTGTGTTTGTGCAACTTGCCTTCACTTGACTTGACAATCTCTCTGCGCCAGCACTGCGTGTTGGAGCTAGATGTGGACCGTGGCGCAGTTTATGCGAACGCCTTAGATAGTTCTGGAATTCTCTGCGTGTGTCCCCGGTCAGACTGCAGACATGCTGCAACCCGGTTAGTCACCTAGTAACATCTAATAATCCAGAGTACATAGTCAACAGGAGAGTGTAGCGAACAGATTCATAAAAGGGCAACAGCTGGACAAACAAAGCACACCATTCAGATCCATTCCAGAGCATATCAGAGCATTCATTGGGGTTGGCCATCGCTTTGGTTCAAGGGCCGTGGGGCCTCAAATGTTGGCCTCATGGAACGCCACTCCCAGTCCCGGCTTTTCCGGGGTTAGATTTCTGGGATGTTCGCCACGTTGCGAAAACGCCACGTGCGGCAGACTGGATCAACCGGACCAGCCGGAAGTGCTTCAGGATCTCATGGATCCCATGGAGCTCCGCTCCCTGCTCTGAGCATTTGTCGTTTGGAAGCGCCCGAAGAGTTGCTAAAGAAACTGCGGCGCCATGCAGACGATCCAGCACTGGCAGAATTCACTTGTCCGATTTGTTGGGAACCCTTCTGGCAACCTGTTCGCACGGTATGTGGCCACGCCTTCTGTGAGGGCTGCTTGCTGAAATCTGTTCTTGCACAACTTGGTCATGACCAGCCAGATGTGTCTTGCCCACTCTGTCGTCATCCACTTCATGTGGATGATGTCTCAGCAGACGAGGCGCTCTTAACTCGCATCAGACTAGTGATTGCCCAAAAGAACCGTGAGATCGAAACACCGGGAACTGGACGGGCTTGTTCTGGCCGCCTCTTTCGTGGATCTACACGGTCACCCAATCTGGAGACAGGGATGCGAACCTTGCACTGCACAGGCCACCCATGCACTCCAGCACCAGTTGAGTTGATGAGGGCTCAAACATCCGGAGCAACAAAGAGACCCATTCTCGCAAGTTGGATGCGAGTAGCCCCTGCAAATGAGTTACGTCCAGCAACTTCAGGCTGCGGGCGATTTCAGGGAATGAATGAGTTGCCTGAACCATCACTCTTTGTGCAGAGCTCCTTTGTAGCTCGTCCGTCCACCACAGGAGCATGGACTCAGCCCAGGCACAGACGCGACGATAGCAACATTGGCACGCTTGGCAGCGTTGGCACCCACAACGGGGAGAACGGGGAGAACGGGGAGAACGGGGAGAGCAGAGCTCTGGCTCCGGGCGCGCTGAGGCGCCCGAGCACAGACGATATCCCAGCGAAAATCTCGAAGCAAGAAGCCCAGCCGCAGCCGCTGCAGGCTCACAGGACACAGCCTGTCAGGCTTACAAGCAAGGAGAGCAAGGAGAGCAAGGAGAGTAAGGAGAGCCGAGAGAGTCGAGAGAGCTCCAGGACTGCAGCTTGGGATCCAGAGTGGGGTGAGGAGTTTGACTGGGAGGTTCAAGAGATAGGCCGTGCATCTGCACCATCATGTCCAGATGCATCCAGTCTGCCCACTCCAGCTGCAGTGAGCTCACAAGCTCATATGAAGCCAAGACTTGGATACGGAGCTGTGAAGCACCAGAGAGCAGCGGAGAAGCATCTGGGTACCTCCTTGCCACCTCCAAGACTTGCACGTTCGGAGATGGGCATGGATGGCATCGTTCCAGCTCCAAGAACTGCCAGAAGGCGTGCTTGTCCTTAATCCAAATGGTCTGCTTTGTGCAACCTACAGGTAGTGCAGTCAATTGATAGCTCTGAGGTCTTCCACAAATTGCGTAAATTGCATCCATTGCCTACCGGGGGAAGAGAGAGAGGGAGAGATAGCGAGGGGAGAAGGAGAGGGAGAGGAAGAGGGCGGGTGTTGTTGTTACATGTTATCCCGGTTCGTTCGTGCGTTACTCCAGGGAGCACAGACGGCAGAAGCAAGACCTGAAGACGCCGCTTCCAAAGCGAAGCCTGGCTTCATCCTGAAGCTCGGTGGGTGATATTGTTTGATTTTTCTACAGCATTAGGGATCGTTCACATCATTCGGGCCTTCCTCGAACAAAAATGCACACACCAATCCGGAGAATCAGGTCCAGTCTGGTTGTTTTATGTTATTTTCCTTCCTGCCCAGGAGAAGTGTCGAAGAGCTGGAGTGAAGCCACCTGCAAAGACATGTTCAGGTCAGGGTGTCTTGCAACACGCAGGACCTTAGAGGCTGCAGCCAAGATAGGCTGCCGGAGTTGCAAATTATGTTTTATTGCTGCGAGGCGCAAGAAAGATCCTTCCGCACACCAGAGCAGCAGTTTGCAGCACGGGGTCGGAGGTTTCAACCCGCCACTCAATTGGAATCATTGCTGCTCTGCCACCCAATCATTGCTGAACACGCAGCAGAGACATACAAAACATCTACAGTAGAAATTAAATCTTATATAGGCAGCCATGCATTCCATCAAACTACATATTTGTTCGGTTCAGACGTTCGCTCCCGACTAGATTCTGGCATGGCATAGCTAGGTCCCAAATTATGCCAAGGCTGTTCCAAAGGAACGGACGGCATTTGCAAATATTTGCAAAAGATGCGCGAGCTGCAGTCCAAAAAGGTTGGAGAGTGCACACACGCAGAGCAGTGGCAACTCAGTAATGGCCCTTCACTGCTTGTCCACCAATCAAGCGGCTCGATTGCTCAGAGACCAGGTCATCGACTGCAGCACCAACGGGACCTTTCTGAATGGCTTCAGATTGCCGCCCAAGACAACAGGGAAGGCGGCTAGCAAAGGGTTGCAACTTGTGTTGAACAAGCGTTGATACACTACACGACAATCGATTAAATTGATCAAAATTGAGAGTCTAGTCATGACCACTTCCATTCGCAAGGTGCAATAATATATATATATATTATATACACAAAACCACACGCACACACTATTATAATATATGGTCACTTATCTTCGGTTGGTAGGTCAGGGATAAGTGGATCAATGTTACAGTTCTTGGCACTGGATGCGACTGATCTTCTTTTTCTATTTTATTTGTTGTACCCGATCGGGTTCAGTTGATGTGATTTGAATTGTTGTGATCACAACATTGAGGTTGATCATCTCAGTTGAGCCAATGGCACTGACCAGTTCTTGGTGCCATTTTGGCTCAAGATCTGATCAGTGATTTCATTTGGGATTTGTGGGCCTGGGTGGTCAACCCTTCTACCGGCTCTTCTTTTTGCCATGCCGAGCTATCGTGGCGCTCGCGGCTCTGACGGTGGATGGGGCTCCCAAGAAGATCAGTGGGGCCGTGGATACGGTAGATCTACCAATAGCGCCCACAATCCCTATGAGGTCAAGATGCCGAGGTTCCTCGTGCCGATCTACGAGGGTATGAAGTTCCCTGAAGACACCTCGATCGTGGTTGTCGACAACCGCGACGACAGAATGGTGTCGCCTTTTCAGGCGTGGCTTGTTTCTGAGATCATGTCAAACGCTGCCAGTTCCATCAACGTGCTCACAGAGAGAGACCAAGTGATGCCGCCTAATTCAGGTTTTTCAGTGGCTCTTTTTGCCAACTATACACTGGATGGGATCAAGGTGGTCTTGGCGCTCTCGCTCGAGAGTGAGACTGGCACTACGTGCGCTGGATGGGATGGTGAGACGGCAGCAGCTCTGTCGCACCAGGCTTTTCAGCCTTTCACGTGGCCGATGCTCAGGGACACATCAGCAAGCTACACAGACGTGAAGATCTACAACGGGAATGAGATCCTGTTCCATTGGATCTTCAGAGGCTTCAGGTCAGACACAGACTTGACAGTCCAGCAACAGTTCGTTGGCGAGCACCTGGTCAGAGAAGTGAACCAGGGAAAACCGAGGCTCTCAGTGGTGATCGCCGTGTTCATCGGCTACAGGGTATCAGTTCTGAGCTTTGAGTGCGGGGGTCGCACATACTCAGTAGGACCCCGTGGCTCCGTGGTTGCAGGCGACTCTGCCAGATCGCGGTTTGAGCTCCGGTGTTGTTCAAGGTCTACGGCTGACGCAGTGGGCAATGACGCCGATCGTGTGGAGTTCCGGTTCAGGGACTCAAACAACAGGATTGATTTGAAGTGTTCCAGGACGTCAGTTCCCGGGACATGGCTCACTGTCTCACACATCTCTGGACCGACCTTGATCAAGACCATACAGTCAGTGAGGGAGAACAAAGCTCGGGTTGAAGGTCCTGAGCAGACCGAGCAGTTCGCGCAGCTCGCCGCCATCCACCAGACCTGGTGGGAAACATCGGTCGCCAGCAGTGAAGATCAGGTGGGCAGCATGGTGGTGTTCATCCCCGGAATGGAGGAGGGCAACTTTCACGTGCAAGCTCGATCGAAGCTGCTGGTAAGGGAACCCGAAGTCGTTCCAGCCAAAGCTCTGGCTGAGATGCAGCATGGCGAGGCTGTGAAAGCTCCCACAGGTCCCCCCTCCTTGACAGGGGAGGCATGGTTGAGCTCAGCCGAGACGGTCGCCAACATGGTTAGCAGTTCCAAGGGATCAGAAGAGATCGTGCCAGTTCGGCAGCAAGCCAACTACGAGCTCAACTTCCGGTCCTTTGCAACCAAACATCCTCAAGGAGGGAAACGTGGTCACGTTGTGGATGCAGAACGAGATCGTGCTCGCTGCGATCGCAGGTTTGCAAGATCCACAGCTCAGCTCACGCCCCAGTTGTTTCACGAGGAGATTTCCAGGCGATCGTACAATGTCTCTACGGCGACGATCGAAGAGGTCGATGCAGAGCTTATCACTCCACCAGAAGACTGGGCGGCTTGGGGCAAAGAGAACGTGGTGGAAGATGCGGTGGCAGATCGCCCAGCTCTTAGCAAAGTGCCTCACAGCACTCCTGCAGTTGGGTCACCGTGGAGTAGGTCAGATCATTTTGAATTTTTCCTTTAATTTTCATGTGCAGATCTGCAACATGGCAGATCGCCTCCCGCGTGACGGGCTCCTTTTAAATCGTGTGTGCGGCAAAAAGATCACAGCCAGCCGCATGAACCTGTTGGCACCTCGATCGAACATGTCTGTGGGGATCACGTTGGTTCGTTGTTTGTGCCTTGGGTTCATGGCTGGTTTATTTCTTTGATCATTGTGCGGTCCACCAGATTTTTATTGTTTGGTTTTGATCAAAGCCGACTGCAGTTTCCAGGAGCCTCGTTTGGTGGGTGATCACCCCAAATACGCGGTTCAGGGATTTTATTTTGAGTTTACTGGATTTCATATATATGATCTTACCTTAGGTCCCCCCATTGCTCCGGTTCCCTTATTCTTGTGTGTAATAACCTTAGCCCAGATTAGGCCGATCCCCCTAATCAGGGTTCTAGGTTATTTACAAGACTTGGGTTAACCTGGTTTGGGGTAGGAACAGTTCGGATCATCTTTACTGGGACCTTAAGTTTTAATGTTGATCACAGAAGGTCTCATTTTACAGGATTGATCATAAGCTTTTGTTGTTGTAAAAGGTCTTTGAGTTTTTTAAAAAAACCTCAGATGTGGCTTTGAATCAAACCAAAAAGTTTTTACTTGCTCACCATTTTTTCACAATTTGTTCTTTCTAAACTTAAACTCTTAGGGTTTGTGTTTTGTTTTACTTGCTCACCGTTTGTTTCACAATTTGTTCTTTATAAACTTAAACTCTTAGGGTTTGTGTTTTGTTTCACTTGCTCACCATTTTTTCACAGTTTGTTCTTTCCAAACTTAAACTCTTAGGGTTTGTGTTTTGTTTTTGTGCCTCCGTTTAACATTGGCCCAAAATGCACCTTTACCAAAATGCGCACGGTCAGGGCTGGCAAGTTACAACCCATGTGTTTTAATAGAAAAACACTGGCTTAATACTTTAATATTTCCACCATGCTACCAAAATCAAAAGACCTGCAAGGTTCAAGGGTTCAAAGGGAAAGAGTTGACACTGTGATAAAGAAACCGTGTTTAATGATGTCACAAGTTGATGCCTGGCTGCCTGATAACTACAAAATGCTCATGGTGTGAAAAATGCCACCTTAACAGTGACATGAGACTACGACTACAACGACGACTACCACTACGACTATGCCTCAGCCCCAGTCAAAAATGATGCCTTAATGGTGTCACAATGATGCCTCAGTGGTGTCAAATAAGTGATGCCTTAATGGTGTCATAATGATGCCTTTATGGTGTCAAATAGGTGATGCCTCAATGGTGTCACAAAAGTGATGCCTTAATGGTGTCACAAGATTGATGCCTTATTGGTGTCAAAAAAGTGATGCCTTCATGGTGTCACAAACTTGATGCCTTACTGGTGTCAAAAAGTGATGCCTTCATGGTGTCACAAAATTGATGCTTTACTGGTGTCAAAAAAGTGACGCCTTTATGGTGCCACAAACATTGATGCCATGATGGTGTCATGCATTCATGATGCTGTGACAGTGCCATGCAACAGTGAAGATTAAGATACCCACCAAGTCCATACCTCAGCATCGCGCGCTGTCAGGATGGAGTTTCTACCCCCTGGGCTTTACATGGGTATGGCCAAACAAAATGTTAGTTTTTGGGCCATTTTTTTGGGTTTGAAGGCTCCCAGGTTCAAAGCTAACAAACACCAGAAAGAACCATTCAAAGTCTTCAAGAATATTTTGTCTCATAGTTTTGGTCCCCATCTAAAACTATCCATACAATACTGATTGGTTAGTGACAGTGAAGTGCCAAACCCCACAAAACATGTTTGCCCCTGGATGAAACAGACCCCCATGGCCGTTTTGTTTTTGGCACCATCACGGCGCCAGTAAAAGACACCATCACGGCATCTTATCATTTTCGTGGCACCATCACGGCGCCAATAAAAAACACCATCACGGCATCTTATCATTTTCGTGGCATCACGGCACCACAAGAAACCAGGTTTATAGCCCCCATTCATAATAGATATGACTGCTATCTAGGATAAACATTAGTGAACAAATATATCTATATATATTTTTAATAGATTAGGAATTACATACATGCCAGTATAAGACACCATCACGGCATCTTGTCACGGCGCTAGCAAAAGACACCATCACGGCATCTTGACCGAGGCCCGGATTCCTGCCTGAACTTCGTGAAGCGCATGCAGTTGCGTTCCCTGGCCTTGACCGGATGCAGCATGGTGCCAGGGAATCCATGGGCCAGATCGTGTGTTTCGGTGTATTTAGCATGAAACATGCAAGAACATGTATGGCTCCATTCCACCCAACCGCTTGCTGGCTTGTTTGCCACCGAGCTTTCAATCCGATGGAGGCATGCTGGGGATGAAAGATGTTGACAAAAACCAAGTGGGTATGGCTCAAAATGTTGAATCTGACACATCCATTCCTCATGACATTCAATCATTTTGATGATGATTGCGAACTATGACCTTTCAAACTGCTAAACATCAATCTCCCCAGGCTAGACTTGTCAAGCAGGTTTGAACCGGAACATGTTGGAACTCAATCAATGTAAAACTGGTTTTATTCCGCTATCATGTCGTGCCAACAGATGGAATTAAGCACATAGGATGTTTTGCTCATATTTTTCCTTAAATTTCAAACCTGCTTGACATAAAAACTAGTACACGCTGCTCGGCCACCATCAGATGTTGCAAAATGTTACAAACAAAAACATAGAATTATCCAGAAATAACCCGGAATATATTGGAGGATAACATGAACAAGCAATGAGTTAATTTCAGTTCAAACTGTTTGCAACACCTGATGGCGGCTACAGCTCCTGTGCGCTGGTTACAGCTTCTGTGCGTTACCTGC